AGCAATTTGATAATTATTTCAGCGTTAAAACTACTTAAGAGGTTGTAAAAGTAAGGGGTTACATACGTTTTCTCGGGCGCCCTCTAGTGGTTATTATCTCTGATTTCCTTCCCTTCGGTTACGTGCGTTTGAGCACGGAGGCCTTGTCTGCTGCGCCTGAAGTTTGTTATTTGGTGTTTTGTTAATTTTGTTTATTTTTTCGCGTTACTGCACAATTGGTCACTCCCAATGTTTTTATTGAGGGCAGAACACAGATTTTAAGGGAGCTTTTTAAACTGGGAATCGCGAGCCTTGGAGGGTTAGGGTTATTATTTGCTTTAAAAAAAAAAAAAAAAAGCATCCTGGCAGAACTGAACCTCTTGTAAGATTTTTTTATATTTTTTTTTTATCTGAACATCTTTCTCTCTTTTGAAATTTTGAGATCCACTAGATTTAGTCATACAGTGATACAAAGTGCAAAAAGTTTTAGTTAAAGCTAAGTGATGTAATTAAGTCATTTAAAGTGTAATAGTCTTTTTTTTATTTAGTATGTTATCCCCTTTGCCATTGCTGTTCATCTTAGTAATGCAACTATTGAGCTTTGTTTTGAATGTCTAAATACATCATATTGGAGCTTGTGTTGACCTTTATATTCTTATTATTCCTTGTTATTTAAATCTTTTATGTTTCTATTTTTCAGAGGAGCACATAGACTGAGCGACAATGCATCATTGGAATTTAAATAGTCAAAAACTTACTCAAATGGTTGCATTTTTGCCTTTAAAATACCCTTCCCCCCCTTTTAAAAATAGAAAAAAAAAGATAAGATTTAATACTATTTTCAGCTCAGAAAGGTAACTTTCTTCTAATGATTAAAGAGAAAGAATTGACATGTTTTTCTGGTTTATTCATATTTAATCTAAATCAATTACTTAACAAAAATGCTTCTTGTGCCACATTTAGGTTCATGCAGGAAAATTATCTAATGTTTTGTTACCAGTGTAAATATCTAATGGATACCCTGACAAACAGCCCAAATTACTGAAAAATAGGCACATTTGATCACGATCAAGAATATTCTTCAAATACTTTTTCACTGCATTTTAGGCCCAAATGTGTTTGCTCAGACTATTTTCTCAATTTGAATATAACATTTTGAATAAAGAATCTAAACGCTACCAATAATGTTTGAACTAAGAACATCTAATCGAACAGTCGTACAGTTTTGTCCTTTTTTTATTTACAAGTAATACATGTGCAATTAATGTATACTGGCAATAGTTTGGTGAAACTGTAATTTGCAATTACAGAAAAGAAAAATATAATAAAAGGAGAAATTCAGAAAATTCTTGATAAAACTTGAATTTACTCAATATTATGACATAGACTTTCCTTTTTCAGATATCTGTAGAAACATAATCACAAGAGTATGTTGGTTTCATATCAAATCTAAAAATAAGTCTTTTTACTTTGCCAAGAAATTTTTTTCCACCCACAGTGGAAGTAGACATTAAGCATGTATCAGTAATTCTCAAGGGGGGCCCTTTTGTCGGACCACCCTCATTAACTGCTCCTCCTACATGTTTTGGGTAACTTTAAAGTTGTCTAGTGCCCCCTGCTGGTAGGCCAAACATTTGCAGGAGCAACAGGCGTACAAGCTGCTGCTTTTCTCAAGAACAAGAAATTGTTGATTGAAATGCTTAGTGCAAATCAACAAAACTTTAATGCGAAAGAAAGAACACACGATCATCTTTACTAATAATTTAAAATATCAGAATATTTTGCTAGACTTTGGTTGGAGGTTACATTACAGAAAAAAAAATCTCCAGTCATTAAATTTAAAAGGGAAATTCATGCAGAGAATAATGTCTTATATTATCCATAGGTAATGAAAAGCCCTAAAAATTATTTTTACGTACTTTCTGGCCCAATAAAAAATAAAAATATCGACATACTGTACAGTGTTATGCAGTTAGTATTAGCGCAGGCTCCCTTGCATTGTTTCATTTACTGACGCCTCATCTTCCTCTAAATATTAGGTTTAAGTCAGGCCGGTTTGTTGGCCAATCAAGCATAGTGATACCATGGTCCATATAGCATGTATTGATGTCTTGGCAGTGTTCATGGGTGTCAAGTCCAATCAGAAACTTCTGTCAACATCTCCCTTTGTAATGCTCTCAACTGGTGGGTTACAAAGCAATATCAATATCAATACTCCCCAAATCATTAGAAGCTGCAGTCCTGACCAGACTTTTTCCTTCCACTTAACTTCCCTTAAATATAGACTTTGACAGTTGAATGTATGCAACCGTCTGCCAGATTTTGTGAGGACCGTCATGCTCACAAAAATGTTATTATTCTAAATATTCTAGATGGTTAGCTTGGAGGTTTCAGCTGCAGCAAGCTGTAACTACCAAAATTATATTAAAAACAAGACCTTGAAAAAAAAAAAAAATCACTGCGTATACCAGGAGTTTCATTAACCAATATGAATTACTGAAACAAAACACCCTTTCCTATCGAACCAGGTGTAGCTATGTGTGTTTTGTTTTTAACAAAGACAATATAAATCAGACTTTAAAAAGTTTATTGAAGTTCTGGCATTGTGTGTTGTTCCCTTCCACAGGGTAAACAACCAGCACGAGTTGAGAGGTAGAAAACTTTAGTTTGCAAAAAAGTTTGTAACCGACCTTCACACGCAGTCAGACCATCACATCATTACACAGCAAAATGTTACATTTGCAGCTTTCCACACAAAAATCAGTAATACAGTCTACTTTCAGTACACCCATAAACCTACATGACAGTAATACCATTCAACAACCAATTATGTTCACAAACAATAATTAAATAATACGCACCAGTCAGGGAGCTGCTGGGGGACATACACACATATCTTAAACATCTTACCTCAAGACCGTATTGGTTAAGAGTAAAATTCCCAGACATAAAGAACTACAAATATGGCCCACCATGTAGTAGCTGAGCTGCTTTTTTTTGTGCTGTTGTAACACTGATGGCCTTCAGGACAAAGGAAAATAACGGACTTTAGGTAAACAGTTCAGATTCATTAAACATCTCATTTGAGTGTTAAACCGATCATGTGTAACAGTCCTCTGAATTTGAGTAAATGGGAACCAGCAAACCAGTCAGACTTCAACATCAGATTTATGTTATTTGACCCAGGACAGGTTGAGACAGC